CTAATTAAGGAGCCATTTTTCTCAGAAATAGTCTCACTTATGATTTGCCTTCTCCCACCCGTTTCCCTGATGAGTCTAAAGAGTTGCCTAGTGTTGCCTATCACCGATGCTTTTTCCATCTCTTTCGCCTTTGTCAACCACCACTGTTCACGGTCCTTGCGGAGACTTTTCGTAAGTTTCCTTTTGTGCAGCTTTCGCTCCTCATTGAATTCGGAGCTCGCCGGAATAAGTCTTCTAGCATCTATCAGTTCGGATGAGGCAGTCGAAATCCAATGGTTTTTACTCACCTTTGGATTTACCTTATTCACAGCTTTTACAGCTGTATCTATGGCTGACTGAATATTCTTCCAGGCTTCTTCAGGGTGAGCGCAGCTGTCGAACTCAGATATGTGTTTAGCTAGTTCTTCCTCAAATAGGGACTTAGTTTCCTGATCGAGCTGGGGACGTGATGGGTTTACCGCTAGCTGTTTCCTACGTCCGTTCAGTCGTAAGCACACACGAGTGCGGACCAGTGCGTGATCGGTATCTACACACGTGTTCCAGAAGGAGCGACAATCTCCTACCGACCCACGCCAACGATAGCTTATTGCTATGTGGTCTATTTGTGTCCAGCGTTGGTTTGATGATGGGGGTCGCCAGGTCAAACAGTGTCTGTCCTTGTGTTTGAAGTTAGTGCTTACAAGAAACAAATGATTATCTGAACAGAACACTGATAGATGCGCATAGATGAGGCGAAGTCAGTCAGTTTGTCCTTACTTCTCGAAAGCAAAACTAGAGTAATTGTGAAGAGACAGCGTACCTCTTCTGCAATGAATACTCCAGGCACTGTGTTACTATTTAGCTAGTGTCATTGTCGAGGGACTTCATTATTACGCACAAGAGCAGCGATTTCAGTGGCATGGATGACTGAATGCAAAACTTCAGTTTAACGAGTTCACTTAAGCAGTGAAGGTCAGCAACTAATGTTAAGTGATACACATTATTATAAAGGTTTCTATACTTCCCAATGAATCAAAACCGAAATGATCAAAAGAAATGAACACCGTAGAGCTTCTAATCAACCACAGAGAAATCTAGTTGAACTAGAAAAGCTTGAAAAGTCATCAGCCATAGGTCTACACGTTATTGAATCAGGTCATAAAATTGATCGTGACAATATTGAAATCGCCATCCAGAAAAGCATTTCAGGAATCACAAAGAACGTCTAATATCACCAGAAGAACTTCATATCAAATGGTGTGCAAATTATCTGAATAGGAATAATGGACTAAAATGGAATTTGACCCGATTGCAGCAACCCGCTCCCATGAATGAACAAAATCAACACAAATGTGACAAGGGATTTCACTATCTACACACATGCTGCTTTTATACTTTTATACGCTTTCCAAATCCAACAATCTACACCTGATTTTGTTATCTTTACCAGCTGGCCAATTCGACAACGGAAAACTGACCTTATGCTAATGACGACGATTAAGTTGTTAAATATATATAAGCTGAGATTTTGTAAATTGTGGTTTAGTAATACTTTGATAAAGCTATTAGCAGCAATAAATAGCGAAACGTCAGTAAAAACAACAATATCGTTTTGTTTTTCATTCATTGGGAAATGGCAGAAACCTTTATTATAATGAATATCATATACCCAATGCCCAAATTTTTTCAAACTGCTAATAGTGAACTTAGTTTGGACATATATAAATATACATTTAGGTTGAGTGATACATGCTTTAGGCTAACAATTTTGAAGAATTATTTACCAATATACACTTGGCAGAGATTTACTGTACACCTGAAATAAAGAAATGCTGTATTTGACGTTGCTTTAGAAATGTTATTATACCGTTAGCAGTTAGGACAGTTCCTTTAGAATGTATCATTCTGTCATTAACTAAGACAGAACAGAAATCAGCACAATAGTCCATCTGGACATTATAGTTCTTAATATTAGCCTCAGTAACCAACCACGTAGAACAGGATTATTAACTCGACAAAAGGACACAAACCGATTCAAAAGAAAAAACTCATCAAAGCTGCATCAAACTCACTTTGTGGTAAGGCTAAAATGAGTGTCTAGTTCATAAAAACGACCACACCATCACATAGTAGTGAGATAATAATACCCGCCATCATCGCCTCAGTATTAAGTCCTAATCAGCTCAATCGGTTAATCTCTACTTTACATCAAATTAGTTTTTTGTCTGTAAAAACTGGCTCTATAGTTTCTTCACAACAGTATCTAATACCGACAACTTTCAACAACACTGTTCATAACTAACCCAGTAGTTGTAGAAACGATGCAACAGTTGTGTGATGAGGACTAGGATTATGTACTGTACTACACATGTTTATGCCTGTGAATTAAGGGATGGTAGTCAAATTCTATACCAATAAAGCCGAACTAGTCATGTAAACATAAACAGGAGTCTTAGGATGATGGTCTTCCAAGATAAGAAGCATAGAATATGTGAATAACTACGCTATAACAATAAAGATGCCTGTGTCGCTGAAGTATCCAGACGCTCCACAACTATCTGTAGTGCTAATTTTTAAGGAGTCATCACATTTTTATGTTAATTATACAACATCTTATGCAATACGTACTTGCTGTTTTAGAACACAAAATCAATTCTGTATCGGTTGAGCAAGTTACACTAAAACAGACTATAAACCATATACACAGGTGTCACACACTGACAAAACTAAGAACCTTTTGCACAAAAATCTGCGCATATGGCTGACTTTCGCTAAATGTAGCTTTAGGATCAAGGAAAAATACGCACCAATTACTGGTTTAAGGACGAAAAAACTGGTTAAACGTGATGCCTACTCGACTTATTGCAAAAGTGCTGGAACGAGCCCCTGTTGGTTAGATATAATTGAGCCAAATCCCTACTATCAGTTTGCAGCCATACTGAAATGGGTGCTGACGAAAATTCCCCACGGGGCAGAAGCCTTCTGTAGTATTTGCAAACTAGTGCTACCTTGAGGAGACCCAAGGTACATTGTTCCCCATCGAAGGGCATACACATCATGCAGCAGTTTGTTGCCATTCTTTATAGCTGCTGATTGTAGGGAATGTGAAAGTATCGGCTACCTTCTTCACCACAGCTTCCCTCTACCACTACTACAGCAAATAATAACGTTAGGTGCAGTGTTAGTTAATGACACTTATTTATTATTTTATTTAAACGCAGAAAAACTTGGTACAATATGGCACCAAGAAAGATGAGCCACACAATATTGTGAGGGCTGAGATACTGCCCGGGCGCCCAGACCGAAGTAGGTGGTTTTCCTAAGGGACCACCCCCCGAGCCTTTGACTTGGAGTCTAATCCGCAAGGCAGCGGAGCAGCGTCAGGAGCGGCGTTCCCATGGTTGCCGGTGACCCATATGGGTTCATACGCCATTTGATCCAATTGAATTCTGGAGCCCATGTACCCCATGGTAACTGCTTTTAGTCTAACCGCTAACTAAACAACCTTCCTGCCATGGTAGGACCTGCAGGGACATGAGTCCCAGCCAGTTTAGCTTGTTAGGTCACTGCGGCATTCAAGCCCGACCACCACGGCAAGGTAGCAGTTATCGGTCGGTCAATGACAGGTTAACAGATAAGGTTCTAAAGCTCAATCGGATAAGGTGGCTAAGACACGCGCCACGAATGGGAAACTGATTTAAGTGGCGAGTCAGTCTGAAGGATGGTTAGGTTGGAAAAGCGAGGAATGATAAGATCAAAGCATAGCACTGAACCACGTACAGACATGCAGATAACCTGACTGGGTTCTTCGACGCGCTAACAAAATTTGACAAAAGAGCTCCCATGACCAAACACATTTTCATATTCTCCTACATTGTAACCATCATTACTAATATTCATTTAAATATTTTCCCTTTCGTACATCTCTGCCCATTTGTTTCATTTCTTTTTACTACCTAAGCGCTTTCCTAAGATGTAACAACTCGAACTGATTAAATTCTGTAGAAGTACTAAACTACCTCTCTAATTCGATAAAAGTTAGGTATAACAACAGTGATCTGAAGTGGTTCTCTTAGATGACCCGTCAAAATTAGGTCTTATTTTTCAACTAATTCTAGTGAAAACAAACCATTTGTCAGGTTTTATCATTCAACAAACAAAGCCTAGAAAGTAGCAATTCAGTCGCATGTATACTAATAACTTTCGCTCACGCATCCAAAACATCTTAGACTGACATTCAAAACATAATAACTAACAGACAGCGAGGAATTTCGACTGACTGTGACAGTTTGGTGATGGTTACCCAACGACAGAGTCTAATCTAATGGCAGGACTTATTACGAACAACGTTTACCAACAATGTTAATACACTGCAGCATTGCAGAAGAGAATAAGATTTTTTTACATTTATAGTGTGAAAATTATATTAAACTAATTTCCACTTCTGTTTTCCAAAACTCGTTCTTGATAAGACCTAACCTGAAAATTTGGTGATTAGTTGAATTGAATTACCACCTTACCATTTTTTGTACATACTCCGTTTGAGATTTAGCCTGCTGTGTGTCCAAATTGCAAGAAACATTGCCCTCTTTATAAGGTGGACTGATGATCGTGTGTTCCATTACTACAACATTTGGTTTGTCCCAGACAACACTGAAAAACCTGATTTTTAAGTTCGAACACAATGTAAAAGGTACGTTTCGAGGTATTCAGCTAGTTCACGAGCTTCGGTTGGAACATCGTGGCTGTAGAACTTCAACTTCTCTTGTTGAATTCGCTCATTAGCCCGAATACGTTCGACAATCTAAAAAAATTAAAATATACATAATCCTAGATACGAAAAACCTTAGTGATACTTAATTCAGGGCATGGTGGCGGTGAACCCTTGCTGATGCTTTTCAAATCCCTCAAATACTCAGCCTTTAGAATCAGTATATCACACGTGTCTGGATGATCATTGCTGGATGCTTTTTCTAAAATATCGTAAATACCGATTATTTTACTACAAAATGGAGAATTACGCAGTACAATTAACTTTTTAGGAACATCTATACAAAGAACATCCCCTTTAATAAATGTATCCGAACAGTAGGCCGTTATAGTCGACCCAGGTTCAGGAAGGTTATCAATGGTCATTGTAGCGAATCAGTTTACAACCTGCGCTACAAAAGGTACAAATTACAATGAGTTGTCAATCAAGCAGAGAAGTTTATTTCCTTTCTTTTTATAAATGATTACAACTGCTGGATGCTAATCACAAATGAAATTTTTTGTGTTGTCTACTTCACCATCCAGATTTCAGTATTTTGAATCTCGATAATTTCATCGAGGATATTCGCTCTCAAAGTGAATTTACTTCTATTGTAGGGAGGAGTGAAGAAATATTCGCTTATTTTATAGTTACTGATTGTGGTTCGTACTGAAAAGAATTCATCCTGCCACATAAGGTCAGACAAATACTCCATAATAATCACAAGCCCTGGTCTTCATACAGCCCTGAGATAAGGAAAAACATTTTATTGGAAATATTAACCCAATCAGCCTAACGGAGGCCTGTGGGAGATCGTATATCCGCCATTCAGAAACATTGGGTGTATAGATCCTCTGAATTCTTCCTTCTTCTGTTTCAATAGGAATAAGATTTTTTAGACTCACTACATTTTCTCGAAGCTTCATACAACTTTCTGTGGCTTGTCAAAGAATAAAAGCCAAGAACCTAAAAATGCCAAAACTGTAAGTTATAAGAAGACTTATCTTAAATAGAAAGTTCTCAAAATGTCGGCGAATTACTGAATCACTAGCAGCAGACCAATTAATTCACATATGTTCATCCTTCCTCCGACGTTGAGGTGCAAAATTTAGAAACGTTCTGTTTACGTAAAAATTTTCATTTACCATAAAAGGCATTATTGACGCGTAGGTGAGAATAAGTTTAGAATTGTTGTAAGCTTGGGACCCTTCACATCCATTTAGCTGAATTTTTAAAGTATTGGTTGTTAATTATGACAAAGGTTTTTTGTTATATATGTCCAAACCAAGTTGACTTTTAACGGTTTGAAAAAATTTGGGCATTGGGTATATGATATTCATTATAATAAAGGTTTTTGTATTTCCCAGTGAATGAAAAACAAAACGATATTGTTTTTACTGACGTTTCGCTATTTAATGCTAATAGCTTTATCAAAGTATTATTAAACCGGAATTTACAAAATCTCAGTATATATATAACAAACAGTTAGGGGGTGAGAAAATAAACATAGGTCAAGTTAAAGGGACATATTGAAAGTAAAAATAGCGATGAAGATAACTATACCAAATAACAAAGGTAATAGTATGTCTGTTATGGAATCGAAAAAAGAAAGAAAAGTTTACTAACTTGATCATCGTTCGTCTGTCTGGGGCATTTTTAGTTGTTAAGTTGGTGAATTAATATTAATGACACAACGAAACATACCATCTAATCTCAACAAACAAGAATATGAAGCCTTAAGAAATTTGAAGAAGGACAAAAGCATCGTTATAACGAAAGCCGACAAGGGAAATGTCACCGTGATTATGAACAGAACGGATTACGAAAAGAAGGCGATCGAACACCTATCTGAAGGACCATACTTACTCATTGAAGAGAAGAAGAAATCCGCCGAATTCAACAAAATGAAAATAAATACAAACAGAGTCCTTCAAGAAATGAAACCCAAAATTGGAAATCCCCTCTAGTTTAAACTAAAACCAAAGTCTTATGTAGCTTCAAGATTCTACGGTCAACCAAAGATACATAAACCCACAGTTCCATTGAGACCAGTAATAGATTTCACCAACTCACCGACATACAACCTATCTAAATACTTACTCTCGATACTACAACCACTACAAAAGGACACTCAAAATATTGTCAGGAATTCATATGATTTCAAATCCCAAATAGAACACCGAGAAATTGATAAAGAAGACATTATGGTAAGCTATGATATTAACTCATTATATACTAGTATCCCCATTACCGAAAGTCTTGATATCATCTCCAGTCTTCTAGAATCAGATACAACGCTATCACAAAGATGTCCACTGGACACCAGTCAAATAATTAAGAGCTTAAAATTCTGTCTAGAAAATAATTATTTCACATTTAAAGGGAGTTTATATAGACAGACAAATGGTGTTGCTATGGGTTCACCAGTCTCACCAGTAGTCGCCGACCTTTTCATGAATAAATTCGAAAATAACATCTTTTCAAGCATACTCACTCCTAAAATATGGTTAAGATATGTGGATGATACTTTTGTAGTACTAAAACGAGATCTACACAATTCATTCCTGGAGAAAATAAACTGTGTATGTCCCAGAATCCAATTCACTTCGGAAGCAGAATCAGACATCGGTGAACTACCATTTCTAGACTGCCTAGTTAAGAGAAAGGAAAACGGACATTTTAGTATATCCATATTCAGGAAGAAAACCCACTCAAATAAATAATTAGACTTCAAGTCATCACACCCCATCAGCGCAAAGATTTCAGTTGTTTCAAGTCTTCTTAGACGAGCAAACTCTCTGATAACCGACGAGAAAGAAAAAGAAGAAGAAATATCAAACATTACTGAGACTCTCAAGTAAAACAACTACCCATGGAACTTCATCAACAAAATCAACACAGACATCAAGTATGGCCGAAAACGCATCCCGAAAACATGGACATCAACAGTCGTCATTTCATATAGAGAAGAGACGTTAGACGATATCAGAAGAGTACTCAATCAGCTCGATATTAGAGTTTTCTTCAAAACATCAGACACACTTCAAAGCAACCTTGTCCATATAAAAGACCGAATCCCTAAAGATTCGCTATCTAATTGTGTCTATAAGATAAAATGCTTGGAATGTGATGCGATATACATCGGACAAACTTCTCGAGAAATCAAAATCAGAAGAAATGAACACCGTAGAGCATCTCCTCGACCACCGAAGAATCCTGTTGAACTACAAAGACTTGAAAAATCATCAGCCATAGGTCTACATGCTATAGAATCAGGCCACAAAATTGATTTTGACAATGTTGAAATAATCCAGAAAAACTTCAGAAATCACAAAGAACGTTTAATATCAGAAGCACTTCATATCAAGTGGAATCAAAATTGCCTGAATAGGAATGATGGACTAAAACAGAATCTGACCTGGTTACAACACCTCCCTCCCCCCCCCCATCAAGTGATAAAACCAACACGAATGTGATAAGCACTTTCATTATGTAAACACACGCTGGTTTTATAATCTCATACACTTATCAAATCCAACAATCTACACATGATGATTTTGTTATCTTTACCAATTCACCAACTTAACAACTAAAAATGCCCCAGACAGACGAACGATGATCAAGTTAGTAAACTTTTCTTTCTTTTTTCGATTCCATAACAGACATACTATTACCTTTGTTATTTGGTATAGTTATCTTCATCGCTATTTTTACTTTCAATATGTCCCTTTAACTTGACCTATGTTTATTTTCTCACCCCCTAACTGTTTGTTATATATATGCTGAGATTTTGTAAATTCCGGTTTAATAATACTTTGATAAAGCTATTAGCATTAAATAGCGAAACGTCAGTAAAAACAAAATGATATTGTTGTTTCTAATGATGCTTCCCTATTTAATGCTGTAGCGGCAAATAATTCCCCAAAATTATTGACCACAGCAATCATCACTCAACATTGGATGCTGACCCTCACTGTTTAAGTCGACTTGTTTAGCTAAGGGCTTCTGGTCAAGCATCATTGCCATTTGGTACTCCATCGTGTCACGTGCGTGCTCAATCACTAGCTAGTCAAGCACTCGATACGATTTACTATTTGGTCCCGAAATCTATCACGTACTTTGGTTGATCAATCTTGCCTTTTGCTTTATCTTCGGTACACGAGGAACGAATACTATAGAAGTTGTTGGTATAAGATCTTGCGTCAATATACTCCGTACAATTCGCGAAATTCGATACCGTCAGCCTCTAAAATGCTGCAAATAGCTTTATCAAAGTATTATTAAACCAGGATTTACAAAACCCAGTTTATATATGACAACTTAATCATCTTTCCTCAGCATTGGATTATTTTTGCGTTGTCAAGTTGACTGTTATTTGAAGACGAATATAACTGAAGGTATCATTTGGCCAGCAACTTGACTGGTCAGTTTCGGAATGAGGCAACGAGGGGACTGGTTTACCAAAAGACTTCATTTAAATTACACGGTAACGCCCCTTTCAGTTCACAAAACATTCCAGAGCATTTTGAGCCTCAGACAGATAAGTTCAACCCAGAGGTATCAGTAAATGGAATTTGAAAACTGTTATAAGATATAATTCCATATCAGACAAGTTTGTTTGATTTGTTCATCGAACCAAAGCCATACACGTGTCACCAAAATGACGCAACAACTATACTGGCTATGTGGAAAATTACACTAAACAATATGGCGGAAGAATATATGAAATAAATTATAAAGTCGTGTGAATAGACTGCTATGACTGTGAGCGATGAATTATTCTGCGGGCGTCATCCAGTCATTAATACTACATCAACGTGCTAAATCAAAAATCTTATCTAATATAGAATTCTAGCCAGGGAGTCAAGCTAGTCTACACAGTGCCCGAGGTTCGACTGAAAATTTGATTAACCTATTTCAATTTGGAAATCCATGATATTTGGCTAGGCAAATATTCCAGGGAACATTAACATCTTTCCGCACTCCTCGCGCCATCCTTCCGTCGTTCTAGCCAAACAGACAAGTCCCCATGCAGCAACAAGACAACCTTGATGGAGTGAAACAAGATACGTCTGACGAAGTTATTCGAAATTCACATATAGGCTAACAAAGAAATCTGTGCCTTCTGTTGGACTTCAGACTGGAAAACGTCGAGAATGTCCACAGATTCCTCATGATGAGCATTATGGTGTCTGACCAACAAATATAATTTCTCAACAGACGTACCCGATTGAAATCAGAAACCCTACAGTTAGGGAGAGTGACGCGAAACTTAATTTTTCCCTGAAAGTTATCAGAAAACTTTGTTGCAGGAACTCATCCATAGAGTAGGTTAATTTTGAATCACGTTAGTCACGCAACCATAGCTATATTCTCAAGGCCGCCGACCATAAAAAACTATCAAGCACAAGTTCTTTACCATTTAATGCCGCGCTCCGTGGAACCAACTGCCTTCTGAATTCAGA